GGGGAATAAAACTCTGCAGATAAACTTTTGAACTCTGGGGCTGCACTGACCAGGGACAGAGACTTTTGGGTTGTGGGACTTTGGGTGATTCTTGGGTTGCTGGACTCAAGAACCAAAGGGAAAGGACACAGCCCAATTTGCTGGGGTGGGTCTTTGCTCATGGTTTGGTCTAGGAACCCTAGTTGTGGTGTTTTCCCAATTTAATGCTGATGTCGTTTACCTCATGTTATTAAAAATGTTCTTCTACACCGAGACTCTGTGCTTGCGAGAGGGGAAGTATTGCCTCTTTGATGCACCCAGGGGTGTTTGTAAGATTTTCCCAGGTCGCTCGGTGGGGGCTCAAACTCAATGAGAGACACATTGTCTGAGACATCAGAGAGCTGTAAACCATGTAGCCACCCCCTCGATCAGGGGCCCGAGTCTGGGCTACCACGATCCCTCCCACAGAGCAGGGTGCCCACAGATTGCAGTCTGAAAATAGGCATGTGAAACTAACTCCTGCTTTCTCTGACAGGACCTCCCCTAGACCAAGTGGCATCCCAGGCAAGAAGTGTCTTCGGTGCCCCCCCCACCCCCGCTCCATATGTTAAACCATTGAATACCTTATTTTTTATTGCATTTGTAGCTCATTTCATGATTTCGATGCACAATTTGGATGCATGATTTTCTCTATCATATAAGACAATACATTGTCATGATAGGATGTGTAAAAGTGTATTTATTCATGCCATATATAAGCAAATAAAAAAATCATTTCCTTTAAGCATATAGAAACTTTTAATTTTGACAGTAACTGAAATATACTAATATCTAGAAATGGAACTGTCACCAACACAGGGTGGACCAGTATTAAATAGTGTTACAATAAGCGACAGCATTAAAATGTTAACCCTAGGCCTTTTGTTCAGAGATTGCTTTTCTCACCTTTCCCCCATGAACTGAAGCACAGCATTAGAGAGATCCAAAGACTAGTTGATGACATTTTCAAGTGCTAAAATAGCAAGCAATGTCAGTTTTGCATTGGCCATTGATGATTGGAGAGATGTTTGATTGAGAATAAGATTCAAGGTGAGAAGCAGGAGGACAAAAAGGCCCCCTGCAGCTGTTGAAGTAGCTCAGTTGGGAGAGCATTAAACTGAATATCTAAAGGTCCCTGGTTCAATCCCAGGCTTCAGTATCCTGTTTCTGCAGCAGTGGGCAGTTTCCTGGAAACACAGTAGTACCTTTACCTGATGCAAGTCCCTCATTTTGGACTTCATTGCAGGAAAAGACAGCATTGGCTTATGCACCCATTTGGCCCACCTGACCTTTCTTTCTTCTCTTGCTCTTTCTCAGCAAGGGGAAGAAAAAGAAGCTCCCCTTCAAGCTGGAGTCACAAGGGTGATGTAAGGATGACTTCCTGAGCCCCGACTACAGTCCTCTGCTCTTCCAGCTGACCTATCGAAGAGCTGCTGCCATTTTTCCAGGTTCGCCCATCGGTGTGTGCCAGGGTGAGCACCACCAAAGTGCATGGAATTTGAGGGGCGGGGCAGGGCAGTACACTGTGATGGAGTTTCTATAGTGTAGTGGTTATCACATTTGCCTAACATGCAAAGGGGCCTCAGCCCAAAACTGGGCAGAAACATAGTGGCTTCCTTTTCCCAGCTCCCCTTGCTGTCCAGCAAGGCGCTCCTCCTTCTGCCACTGGCCTGTCCCTAGGATAACCCCAAGCCCCGCACGATAGAGGGTGGTGACATCAGTGGACAAAGTACCTTGGCGTCAGCCTGGGGAAGCTAGAGGAATTAGGCCAGTCACCTTTTGAATGCTTGTGGCTTGGCCTCCTCTGCCCTTGGAGGTTGGCCTCTGGAGGCCGGATCTTCCTGCTGGCCTCCTTTGCGTGACTTGCCAAAGGAGGAAGTAAGGCAGGAATGGGGCAAAAGAGGAAAGTCAACCTGAGGAATGCATGGCAGAAGCTAAGGGCATCACTGCAGCTAAGTGGGGTTAGTAGTAGCCACCTTTCATTCTGCCAAAGCCTGGGGAGATGCGGTTGGCTGCTGGGAGGTAGAATCCTGTGCCTGCCTCTTGGCTTCCCAGGGATGACTACTTGCAGCTCAGAAGAAGAAGAAGTGGGGTTCTGGGTAGAAGGAAAAGAAGCAATGGTGTGTCCTAGTGGGCTGCTTTCTGGCAAGATGGTTTTCCGTTTTAGGCTTGGGAGGAGCCTGCGAGCTGTGGGTGGACTTGTTCCAGTGAGAACCGCTTCTCTTGTCTTGCAGACCTGGGGGCGCCAGTGACAGCTTGTGAGAGGGCAGGTGCTGGCTTGAGTGAATGCGATATAGGAAACTCCAGCCTCCCCCTATGGGGCCAAGTCCACTGCTTGCCTCCTGCTTTGTGACATCCAGATTTAAATCTTCCTATCATGTGCTGCGGCTCATGTATTAAGCCTTAGTTGGTGGCCCAGTCATTGTCAAAGTAGCTCAGGTGAGAGTGCATTAGATTGAAGATCTGAACATTTCTGGTTTGATGCCAGGCTTTAGCACCCCCTTCACCCTGGGCATGTCGTGCTGGGCTTTCTTCTGGGTGTGCAGCTATGCCTTGAACTCATGAGTTTTCCTAATTTCAGAGGCAACACTTGCAGAGGGCAGTGTGTGGGGTCATGTGCCCCACCTGGGTTTCTGCTACATCATGTGGTGCTGCCAGGCTCCCTCCCTGCACAGCAGCTGCTGGAGGGTAAGTGGAAAAGGGCTGCCTTTGCTGCTTCCTCTCCCTGCACTGTTCACACCTGGGAGGGGCTGTTGATCATAAGGGGGTGGGGTGTCGCTGAACCTTGAAATTGTGCCCCCCCCCTTTCAGGAGACATTAGTCATCTGTGCCTGGTTTCCAGCTCCTCAGCCAGAGGAAAAAGTGGTATTCTGCACTTGAGTTGCCAGCTCTTACTTTCTTTCTCATGAAGGGAAGGAAAAAAGAATCTCTTTTTCAAAGCCCAGTCCTACCATTGACCAAGATGTGACTTTCTATGTTCCTGCTACAGTGGAGGATTTAGAGTTAGTGGGGCCCTGTACTCATAAAGTCGATGCAACAATCCCCTTTCCTCTGAACCCTGGTATGTCTCCAGTAGCTGCTGTCCCCTGGTAGCAGGGAAGGAAGTTTCCACCCATACAGGAGACCCCAGCCTGGGATTAAAGTCAGCTTCAGGCTTCTCCTCTCTCCCTTCTTGGCATCAAGTTCATGTTTTTACCAAGAGTTAAACCAGAGTCTGGATCAATTTCACAAGTTCCCAGGGTCTCCATGGAAGACAATTTGTTAAATCCCAGATGAGTGGAGTTATATCAGTTCTCAGCCTGAGTCCTTAGGTCTTAATCCTGAGGATATTGTCCCATCATGGGGCCATTTCCTGCCTCTCTTTCATAGAGAAGCACAATTTTCTTTGCATAGACACAGGAACAGCAAGATCTTTCTCTGTCCCTTGTGCAAAGCAAGGTGCCAAATTCCATGGAAACAATGGATGAGTTGGGGACCCTGGGCACATCCAGCCCTGGCCGTGAGATGTTCCCTCCCCTCTTTCTTTATGCTCCTGTTGTTATTTCATGGAATGTCTGGGATTGGGAAAAAGCTGAGTTCACTCCAGGTGGAGTGGGAAAAGAACCCTGAAAATCTCAGGACCCAACCCCTGCTGCCAGGATCACTGAGGTGCTGGGAATCTGGAAAGGGACTGTGTGAATTGTCAAGGTGGGGAATGAATAACAATCTACAACTAGATCCACTTCATTAACCACTGACACAGGCTAATCATGCTGCAGATAGAAGGGAAACTGGGAGCAATTCTTTGCTGTTCAGCAATGGAAACAGTGACCCAATTGCACCGCAGTGAATATGCTGGGGAAAGCTGAACTTTACAGGCAGGTGGAAATAGCAGATCCTAAAAACACCTGGAGCTTCCCACACCACTTCTGCCACCAGGGTCAGGTGTTGAGCTATTCACAGCACCCCCTACCATCATGACCTTCCATCAGGGGGTGGCAGCACCCCCCGCCCAATGCAGGGGAGAGGGCTGATTGTATCTCTGCACCTTGAGTCCAGGGCACACACTCTCTCTGCCCCACACATAGAATCTGGCCCTGCTGCAAAGTGACCCCTAAGAACCAGCAACCTCCAGGACAGCAGTTTGGCCCTCAGAGCGGGGAATGTGTCCCCCATGCTGCTTTTAGGCCACTGGATGCTCTGGAAACAGAAGGGCTCTGAGTGTAACCCATAGCAAATACAGTGTAGCTAGGGATGTAGCTCAGTGGTAGAGCGTATGCTTTGCATGTATGAGGCCCTGGGTTCAATCCTAGCATCTCCAGTTTCTTTTTTTATCCTGCTGCTTTGCTCATGCCCAGCTGGGATCTGGCCCGCCCGTCTCCCTTCAAGAGTTTCAATCCTGCTCAGTGAGGGGCAAGTGCCAAGTGCATGGAAGGTCTGTGGGGGTTTCTGCTCCTAAGTCATGTCGGTACATTTAAAATTCCTACCCTCTGTGCTGCTTGGGACAATTGTAGATGAGAAGGGTGAATCCTCCAGCACTGGAAGGAAAGGTCCCATCTGCACAGACAGAGAGGCAAGGAAACGGAGGGGCAGTCAGGACTCAGAGAGGAGAGAGGTCAGTGATTTACACCCACCAGAGGACACTGTCTTTTTGAGGTGAGTGCAACTGGCTTGGAATGGTGCTGACGATGGATAGAAAAAAGGCTGGAGTCAATGGCAGATGAGACCATAGAAGGGGAAGGGGAATGGCAGCCCCACAGAATGTCCTAGGTGCTCAAATTCCCCAGTTATTGCACCCTGGCCTGTCATAGAAAGAGAAAGGACACTGAGGGAGCCAGCCCCCCACAGTGATCCCATGGACAAGAACCTGATTGGGAGTGGGGTGAAGGTTCCCTCTGGACAAAGGGGGGCTGAAATCCCTCAATGTCCTGGAAGTTAAGTAATTCAAGCTTCAAACCTTGCATGGGTGTGGGCTGAGGTGCATCAGCAGAAGGTGGGGTTAGACAGGGGTGGCAGGTTTTTATCATTTTGGTGGTGCCCAGAATGGGACCAAGTCCTGCTGCCCCCCGCCCCGACACCTGCCTAAGGCTCTGGGAGGGAGTTTGGGTTTGGAAGGTAGAGGAGTTGGGCCCTGGGAGAGAGTTTGGGTGCAGGGTCTGCCTCAGTCAGAAGGTAGGAGTGCAGGAGGGAGTGTGGGGGGCAGGCTCTTGGAGGGAGTCTGGGTGTGGGTGTGGGGTCTGGGTTGGGGCAGGGAGTTGGGGGTGCAGGAGAGGGTGAGGGGTGCAGCATTTTCCTTGGGCATCTCCCAAAAGCAACCCACACCGCCTTCTGGCAGCAGCCCCTAAGCGGGAGGGCCGGGGGCATCTCTGCGCACCGATGTCCACAGACTCCACCCCCACACAAGAGGGGACGTTCGATCCAGAAGGCTGGCTGTGCTGGGAGTCCTGTAGATAGGGATGTGAGCTGCATTTCCTTTGAGTCCTGAAGCTGGGCTGCAGCCTGGCCTAGGAGGCAGCCCTATTGGTTGACCTACTGGCCCAAAGTCACTTGGGCAGTGTTGGTGTTCCCAGGAATGCTGAAGGGTGGGCCTAAGGGAGGGAGGCTTAATATTCCTCCCTATCAGTCAGGGCAGAAGAGGAGGGATGCAAGAGTAGGCAGGTTGATGGGCTGGGCCTTCTAGCATTAGGTTGGGGATGAGGTGCGGAACGTGAACTGGGAGAAGCAGTTCCTGGACTTTGAGGAATGGCTCAGCCAGTGGTGTAAGTGGACCTTGTCATTAGCCTACAAAGTTGTGATGTTCAAGACCTATCTTTTGGTTGTGGGGAATTTCTTCAGCCAAGTATTTCCCCCTGCTCCACGAGTGCTGCTGAGACCGAACATGATGGCCTTCCACTTCTTGTGGGGCAATAGGATGTCCCTACAAAGTCAGGAGAAGTGCGGCTTTTCTGCCATATTAGAAGGGGGGTTGGGCCTGGTAGGCTTTGAAGCCTTTTATGGCACTACTTTTTTGTTTTTCAATTTTCAGTGGGTGGCTGAGCTGGAGCTCAGGTCAGGCCCGAGGGGAATGGCGGGACAACCACAAAGAACTTAACTGAGTCTTCGGATATGGCCGTATTTTTTTAGACCCCACTGGGTGCAGCACCAGGTATGGGATGGCCGATAGTGGTGGAAGGGGGAGGA